CTATAAAACATTTTAATCCCTCAAATTTCTGAAAAAATAAAATCACATGAAAATGTTTTATTTTGAAAGAACGCCGGATGTTAGCTCGAGCTGCTCCTGCTCATTGAACCGTGACCGCTCCAACACCTGATGTTCTGACAGGGACCGAGCGGAACCAGTGACCCGTCTGGCCGTGGTACCGGGTCAGGGAGCCCCGCACAGGTGAGGTGAACCCACCTACTGTCTCGCGGACGCTCTGAGGCTCGTTTTGTGGGTAAAAACGTTAAAATGGCGGCTTGTTGATGGACGCTCGCCTGCTGCGTCAGACGTACCAAACTCCGTTCATTAAATCACTAATTTTGTGTTTTACTCTAATAGAAGCAAATAATAAAAGTTTATAAAATTAAATTGTTTACTCGTCGGTCTGACTAAGATCTCGGGGTTGTCATTTACACATTTATATTTTTTATTTAGTTGATTTACATTAAATGAACTCCTGGTGCAGACGTGTCAGAACTGAATCCGATCAGAACCACGTGGTTAAACCTGAAGAGTTTAATTTTTACAGAACTGAATGTAAGCCGAACTAAAGAGGGATAACTTTGAAACTCTGTGATAAAAATAATATTTCTACATTGTTAATATTTGGTGCGGTTTAGTGGGTTAATGCTGGTGATGTTGGAGGGGGCTCTGTCCGGCTCTGTGGTGCTGAAACCTGCACTCCAGGGGCGGAGCTAAGGTTTTAGAGGCGGGGCTCACCTGTGCTGGGGCTGTTTCAGGGGGGCTCACACAAATAAAACATTGTTTTTTCAACCTGGTACATCAGGAGCATACACACAAACAGCAGTGTGTCATCATCACAGCATCTTTAAAGTGTAACTAACACCAGATCATGTTGTTGTTGTTGTTGTTGTTGTTGTTGTTGTTGTTGTTGTTGTTGTTGTCAGATGAACTGTCTAAATTGTGTCTTAAGGCAGGCTTCTCAACCGTTTTGAGTCTTGGGACCCCTCACAGGTGTGAACATTTTCCAGGGGCTCCTCCAGGGTCCACAGACTGCCTGGAGCAGGTAAAACCCATGTTCAGGCAGGTGGGTGTGTCCTCCTGCAGGAAACAAACCTGGCTTTATGTTTGTGTCTGTTTCAGGTTTTCATCATCATCATCTTCATCATCATCTTCATCATGTGGGGGGAGGTTTTCCTGCTGATTCACTTCCTGGAAGGTAAACGTTTCATTAACTGTGTTTTCCTCAGAAACTCAGACCTGATCTGTTCTGAATTACTTTCTGGGTTTTTTTTTCTTCTGTTAATTGTTGAAGTTGTTCAAGTTTTTTTTTTCCAAAATTATTTAATTTAAACTAAATGGAGCTGTGGGCCGAAAACTGCCTGGTTGTAACCTTCCTGTTGTCTCAGAATGACTTCCTGTTGTCTCAGAACGACTTCCTGTTGTCTCAGAACGACTTCCTGTTGTCTCAGAATGACTTCCTGTTGTCTCAGAACGACTTCCTGTTGTCTCAGAACGACTTCCTGTTGTCTCAGAA